GGGGAAATGTAATTAGTACACTGAATGAGGCAGTAGCATCAGATAATTTAGAAAGGACATTTCAATAAACTTCACTTAATAAAAAACAAACTAGCAATTTCATGCTGACAAAATCATGCTAATTTCTAGATACATAGTATATACACATGAGAAACATTTTTTCCTAGAAATAATGGTTTATCTATCATATCTGTCTTTATGCTCTATATGACAGATAAATGAAAAATGGTAGTCTTTCATGTTTTGCTAATCAGTGTTTCTAAATAAAACTAGATGTTTGGCAGTATTAAAAATAAACAACTTCCTGATTAACTTTTTCTAGTTTGAATTCAGGTCCATTTCTAAAAAGTAAAACTCACTGCCCACAAATCAATTCTGATTCATAGAGAACCTACACAACAGAGTTTTTGTTGTTAGGTGCTATGGAAGCAAATAACCCAAAAAATAATAGATCTAAACCTTGCCTTATCCTGCTCCATTCGCACCATCTCTAATAGGCATGTGCCCATTTACAGTCACTAGGCCAATCCATGGTGGGGTGGGGGTGTTCTTCCCCTTCTCTGACCCCTGTCTACCTTTCCCAGGGTGATGTTCTTTGCCAAGGACTGGTCCCTATTGACAACATGACAAAAGGATGTGAGAAGTTTCACCATGCTTTTCTCTAATAAGTACTCTGGCTGCATTTCCTCTAAGACTTGTTTGTTCCTTTGTCTCTGTCTATAGGACAGAGTAGAAATGTCACACAGGATTTACAAAGCTGTAGTCTTTAAAGAAGCAGTTTTTTCTCCTGTGGAGTGGCTGGTGAGATCTAACTGCCAATCTTTCTGTAAGCAGCTGAGTGTTTAAATACTATGGCACCAGGGTTCCTTTCAATTCTGGTAACTAGTATCATATTAACTCAACCTAAGCCCTCTGATTTGCTATCAGAAAGTTCACTGATTCTACCAAACCAGACATCAAACTTATTAGGAATAGAAAATAGCCTAAAATAAGAAAGTTAATGCTTATCATGAATATGCAATATTTAGCTTGAAAAGCAGGGAAAAATATTAGTAAGAATAGCATATACTAGGAAAAGAATGTAATTCAAATGAGTCAGAGCGAGTGTATTTCCTACTTAAGGTGATATACTTTAGATAAAAATTATTAGTGGAGAGAAAAAGTGAAGTAATAATTTGATAAAGCAGAGAGGAAACATATTGTTACAGCTAATTAAATAATGGATTATGTTCCTTTTGCCAATTGCTAGAATTTATAAAGCTAAATACTTTGTTACTAACTTCAGAGGATTATTCACATAAAGAGAAATATATTTGAAAAGGACAGGAGTTATAGTAGATTCCTCTGAAACATTTACAAGAGATAAGTTAGTTGTCTAGACCCCTTGTGTTGATTAGCAACAAACAAAGTCTTGACTCAGCATGAACAAAGGAATAACTTGTGTTCTTCAAATATCTATTCAGCTTTAGTGATGAAGACTTTTCCCTGAGGTTACCTGTTAAGAAGCTGGCTATGCTAATGTTACCTTGTCCATACAGGAATTGAACCTATAAATCAGATCTCACCAATATAACCTGCTAACATTCATGAAATGAATAATGCAGTAGTGAATAATAAGTCAATTAAGACACTATCACTAACTTGATTATTCTCATAAATTAAAAAATCCAAACCACAGATTATTCAGTTTGAATCATAAATTGCATCCAAGGACAAAGACAATTAAGGAAAATTATATGTTCATTTGTATTACAAGGTAAAGTATCTATTTTGTGAAATGGATGATATATTTCTTAAAAATAACTGATAAACTATGGTGATTAAAACTTTACTATTAGCAATATGTGCTGCTTGAAATGAATGAAGAAAGTCTATCAATTCAATGAAAAATAACTGACTGTTTTACTATTATTGTGCTACTGTTGTTATATACCATTAAGTTGGAACCAACTCATAACTCACCCTCTGAATTTCCAGAGGCAGTGAATTGCATGGGAGGAGACTGCTCATCTTTCTCCCAAGGAGTAGCTGATAGGTGTGAATTGCCTGTCTTGGAATAACAGCATAACTCTTTACCACTAAGCACAAGAGCTCCCAGATTATTTATTATTTGTTTTTGTGTGCTTTTGAAATTGCAGTGCAACTTTTTACCACTAGGCAACCAGGGTATTTATTAGGCATGATAAAATTAAAGTGAAAATTAAAAGTTGGGAAACTTGCAGTTGGCACCATACATACTTGCTAGCTTCCCAATATGCAATAAATTTTTTTGTTAAATTAATGGTCATAATAACAAACATGATATTTTAATTTGTATATTAAAATCTGTAAACATACTGATGATTTACATATACAGTGAACAAATAGTTTTCACCAGACCAAAAGCATCATGTTACACAATCATGCTTGAGCAAATGCATAATATAAACCAATGGATTTTAATGTTGTTGATTATAGAAAACTATACTGATGTCATTTAAAATCCTGGTTCAGAACACCAATTACTCATATACAAGTTCAAGCTGAAGTTGAAGAAAATAAAATCAAATCCACCCCATGAAGAATGCAAAAGATCATTACAAAGAAAGAAGAGAAAGAAAAGACCAAGATGGATGTTGGATGAGGCTCTGAATATTGCATTAGAGCACCGAGAAGCCAAAGCTAAAGGAAGAAATCAAGACATTAAAGAGCTGCTCAGAAAATTTCAAAGGGCAGCTTGGGATGACAAAGAAAGGTAGTATAATGAAATGTGCTAAGATCTGGAGTCAGAAAATTAAAAGGGCTGAACTTGCTCAGCATTTCTTAAGCTGAAGGAATTGAAAAACAAATTCAAGCCACGAGTGGCAATACTTAAGGATGCTTTGGGAGAATGTTAAATGATCCAATAAGTATTAAAGGAAGATAGAAGGAGTATACAGAGTTATTGTACCAGAAGGAACTGGATGACACAAAAGAATTTAATGAAACAATATACGAGCAAGAGCCTGTGGTGATGAAGGAGAAAGTTCAAGTTGCTCTGAAAGAATTGGCAAAAAACAAGGCTCCAGGAGTTGATGGCATACCAATTGACATATTTCAACAAACAGACGCTGCCCTGGATGTGCTCACCAAGTTGTGCCAAGAAATCTGGAGGACAGCCACCTGGTCAACGGACTGGAAGAGATCCTTATTTGTTCCCATTCCAAAGAAAGGTGACCCAACAAAGTGTGGAAATAACCAAACAATATCATTAATATCACATGCAACTAAGATTCTGCTGAAAATTATCCTAAAACTACAAGAGTAACACATCAGTAGACAGCTTCCAGATGTGCAGGCTGGGTTTAGAAGGGGTCGTGGTACTAGAGATATCATAGCTAATGTTAAATGGATCTTGGCAGAAAGCAGAGAGTATCAGAGGAATGTCTATCTGTGTTGCATTGACTATGCAAAGGTTTTTGACTATGTGGATCACAATAAACTGTGGCTGACTCTGAGAAGAACAGGAATCCCAGAACATTTGATTGTGCTTAAGTGAAACCTATACTAGGACCAGGAAGCAGTCGTCATAATAGAGCAAGCAGACACTGCAGGGTTCAAAATCGGGAACTGTGTCTGCCAGGGATGTATTCTGTCTCAATACCTTTTCAATCTGTATGCAGAACAGATCATCTGTGGGGCTGGACTCAATGAGGAGAAATGTGGCATCAAGATTGGAACAGATCATCTGTGGGGCTGGACTCTATGAGGAGAAATGTGACATCAAGATTGGAGGAAGATTCATCAACAACCTGTGTTATGCAGATGACACAACCCTGCTTGCTGAAACTGAGGAGGACCTGCAGAAGGTCAAGAACTGCAATCTTCAATATGGATTGAAGCTCAATATCAAGAAAACAAGATTCTCACCAATGGGCCAATTGAGAGCATCATGGTGGATGGTGAAGAGATTGATATTGTTAACAGTTTTAGTTTGCTTGATTCCACAATCAATACTTTTGGTAGCAGCAGCCAGGAAATCAAGAGATGAAATGCACTGGGAAAGTCTGCTGTTAGGGACCTCTCCTGAGTCCTGAAGAGCAATGATGTCAATCTGGAGACTAAGATGCACTTGATCCAGGCCATAGTCTTTACAATTGCTTGCTATGTGTCAGAGAGCTGGACAATGACTAGGGATGATAGAAAGATAATTGATGCCTTTGAGCAGTGTTGCTGGAGAAGAGTGTTGAATATACCAGGGATTGCTAGGAAAAGAAACAGGTTTTTCCTGGAGAGGGTGAAACCTAGCTGCTCCTTGGAGGCAAGGATTCTGAATCTTCATCTGACATACTTTGGGCATGTTGCAAGGAAGGACCAGTCTTTGGAAAGGGACATCATGTTTGGGAGGGTATAGTTCAGTGCAAGAGAGGAAGACCCTTGATGAGATGAATCAATTAAGTGATTGAGGTAATGGGAGTAGGTGAGTCAGAGACAGAGAGGTTGGCACAGGATAGAGCAGGGTTTAGGGCTCTTGTAGATAGGGTTGTTATGAGTCACAAGCAACTTGATGGAACATAACAACAACAACAACAACAATATCTACAATAGTCTGAAAAAAAGCAGACATGGAAATTCCTGCTTTTCTAAGTATCTACCAAGAAAGAGTAAGCCTTCCTTCATTATCTGTGAACCAAAACAACAAATGGCAACAGATCTAATATAGAAATAGATGAGAATCCAGATGTATTCTAATAAGTGAAGTAAAGATTATTAAAGGAAAACCCCAATGTGAATCTTCTAATTTTTTTAAAAAGATAGTTATTTTTATTAAAATTTACTCATATTAATGTGCAATAATGTTATTTTAAAAATAAGTCCATAAATATTAAAAATTTTTCTATTTAAATTAGTGATATGGTAAATACTGTATTGTAATCCTCAGTAATGCAGAGCAGTATAAAGAGAGCCTGAAGCTAACGTGTTTGGAAATAGCAGTTATAGGCCCTGATGAAAGTAATCACACTTTGCATTGAGAAATTTACCTCATTTTCTTCAGGATTTGGAGCACATGGTTCTACGTGGACTTGGGCTTGAATCAATTGAAATACTTCATCATTGTCTGATGACTCATCTTCTTTGTCCTTTAAAACAAATAAATTATATTTTTTGAATTTCACATGACAGGAACCTATCCTTAATCTGAGTATACAATTTAAGAGTGCACTTTCCATTAACAATTTATTTAAACCAGTTGTTGTTGTTATTATGTGCCATCATTTTTTAGTTCTGTATATCTTTCAGAATTTGAGAAATTGTCATATTTAGTAAGCTGTTATAACTTCAAAGTTTGCTTCCCTTACTGAAATGTAAGGTATGTAATATTGTGGTGTAAATATTTAAAATTGAGCCCTGGAGTTTATGAAATAATCCTGTTTTCCCATTGACTGAATTTATCCCTTCAACTCAAAGAGAGTAATAAAACTATATTCTCTTTCCTACAGGTACACTGAAGCCCCACATATGTCTCTACTAAACTGTAACAGAATTTTAGCCATTTCCAAAGACGTATGCCTTTGATTATAGCATTAATAATTTAATTTTCTTTTCTTTTTTGACCACAAATAAATATATGACTACCCATACATAAGAGCATAGGATTTTGGGATTACTAATTATAATTTATCGATTTTTAGAATGGCTGCCTATATATATATTTAAAACATTTTAAGATAATAAGTATGTGTCATACTGGTATATTTTGAATCTTTCAGCAATGCATCAGAATCAGAGTCTCGTACTTTTATGGATGAATTGTTACCATAATTTTATTTAAGAGATGGCCAATTAAACATACATTCCCAATAGTTTCAAGTAAGTGGAAGAGCATTTTAGGTATTGATGAACTAAATTAAAATCCAGAGATGAAAACAAAGGAAGATTTCTTCAAAGACACTTAGTGTTCCATTCTTTCAAAAGAATTAAACTTCTCATAACCGATTGGATTCTGATATATTCCACAGCTATATATAACTTGCCTCTGGAAACCCTATGAGCCTGGAGAGAGGATGAAAGGCACCCAAGCGTAGAGGACTCTCCTTCATAGGGTCGCTATGAGTCGCCTGTGACTCGACAGCATTTAACAACAACAACAACAACATGTGTGCTGCAACCCCAGTTAGCTCTAATTTGTTACTAGTGCTAATTTGAGAATAGTCATTGTCATTGTCATTTTAGATGCTCTGCTCTCATCATCTACAGCACTTTTGTACTCTGGCACATATCAGGTTACCAAAGGCAATTGATTGACATCACTATTCTAGACTTACATTCCTCCTTCTATATTCAGTCTCTTTCTATCTCCCTTATTTTTTTTAATATTTTTTATTGGGAAAAACATATTGGGGGTACAAGGAGGTGAGCGTTGGGGGCAGAAGGGTGAGGATGGGCCAGGATGCAGTTGCAGAGCTGCACAGTTTGGTCGGTGGGGGGAGCAGGTGAAGGAAATGATGAGGGTCCAGCGGGGACCAGATGTCTATCTCCCTTATTTCTGGTGTCTGTGTATTTATTTTTCCTTTCAGGATTTCTAATTTTCAACATCTCAACAGTGTTTTTTCAATCGAATTAATGGATAAAATTTGAAAGATTCATTATGTAAACACTGAGTCAAGATCTGATTGTAATTCTACAATAATTATTATTAAGTAGATGGTTGTGGATATCAGGGCTGAAGTTAAGATCACCACAATGAAGAAAATGAATGCTGCCAAGTATTAAACACACACACCCACACACCCTTCCCAATTGTCCTAATGTTGTATACCTCATTAATTCGCTTATCAAACCCACAAATCCTTCATTATCAGATTATATTTGCCAAATAAAACTCCACTCATAATGCACGTACTTAAATGAGATGATTTTGGGGGAAAATTTGAAGTTACAGAAGATAGAGGTTAACGTATCACAACCCATACTGCAATTGTTTTCATATTTTGAGCAATTGCATTGATTTATCGGGTAGTAGATTAGTGAAGCAAGCAACAAAGATGATGCACATATGTTGAATATTTTCAAAACTACTTTTTATTATCCTTTTAAAACCTAGATTTAAATACCCTGAAATCCAAAGTAAGCAAAATTCACTTAAATAGTACATCAAAGTGAAATCTAGTGGAAGAAAGAACAAATATATTTTGAAGTTTAAAGAATGAAACAAAAAATGGTTTTTAAAAAAATGAGTTCTAATTGCTATTTTAGATGATTAATTATTGCATCAAACTACTAAGCCTTAATGTAAGTATGATGTCTCTTAATTAGGTGGTAATTGAGACCAAAGCTCTGTTTCTACAAGGTGGATAAATTAAGCTAGCACTTTAAATATTGCATTTTTTTCCTCAAATATAGTCACAATTTACTGGAAATTTCAAGACAGTTTATTTGAATCATAAATCATTCAGGTCGTCTCTGAATACAAGAAATTTGGTTTCACAGAAGAAAACGAATATAAACTAGCACATTTTCTATGCACATTTAACTTCAAGTAAAACTATCAGAAAGTCTTACATTTGCCACTTGTCTTGGGTCTTCTTGCTGACTTAAGTTATCCTTCCATCTGCATCGGTGCCTTCTTTTGTGGGCTTCTAAATCTAAGAGTCCAGATTTCCGTGATAACTTTCCCCGAAATCTCTTCGGTGATAGCCGTTTGGCCAGTGCATGCCTTAAACTAGAAACCCTGGATTTTTTCTTTCGTTGCTCTTCTGGTTGAGAGTAAAACATATCTGTTGACAGGTTTTCCATCAAGGTTTGCAGTGGGCCAAGTGGCTTTGAGTTATGTGAGCGTGGTGCTCGAAGCAGATCTGTTGATAGTCCCTCTACCAGTGCTTGAATTGAATCAAATACCTGCAGGGGCTCTAGTGCCTGTGCCTGAGGTGCCTGTCCATTTTGTTCCTCTACAGGAACAAGCACCTGAGAATCTAAGTGCAGTGGCAACAGCACATGATGGTTCTGGGACAGTAGTGGCAAAAATAACTGGGCATGTACTGATAATGGCTCAGGTTCTTGTGCTTCTTCCTCTTCCTCTATAGGTTCAATAGCCTGTTCCTGTATCTCTGCTTGTTCAGGTGCTTGGTTCTGCTCCAGTTCCTGTTCAGGGATTTCGTGTTGCTGTTCAGGGATATGGTGCTGCTGTTCAGGAGCCTGGTCCTGCCTTTGTTGCTGTTCAGGTACTTGACCTTGCCCTTGAAACTCTTCTGGTACTTGATCCAGATCTTGTGGCTTTTCTGTTATCTGAGTCTGGGAGTGAATTTGCTGGTCTTTGCGTTGCTGGTCTTGAACTTGTATAGGCCTAGGTGCCTTAATCTGAGACTGTAGTGGCATGAACACTTGGGCTGCCTTCTGTAGTTGTGGCAGTGCCCTCATCTGCATTGGTAGAGATCGAGATGACACTACCTGAGACTGTAGGGGAATGAACACTCGGGCTGCCTGGATCTGCCCCTGTAGAGGCCTAACTGCATTGCCCTGAACCTGCAGAGGTGTTAACACTCTAGCTGCTCCCTGTAGTTGCTTAAGTGCCTGGACCTGTGGTTCTACTTGATCAGGTAACCAACGTGGCTGAGAAGGTTCTCCATGGAGGACTCTAAGTGGTCTGCATCTGCTGCTAGTTGGCAGTCTCAGAAGCTCATGTGTACAACAAGGTCCTCTAAAATGAAACATAAATTATTGTCATACAATTAGAATTTTCAGTGTAACGAGTTTTTCAAAGATAAACATATTTTTGCAACAAAGATATTTTTAGTCAACATTTCATGAATTGTTTCTATAATGTCAAAAACATTATTTATAATATTAAAATATCCAACTATTAATGGAGTCTAATAACATACTTGCACATTCTATTGTCAGATGTTAAGGAGCCTATTGGTAACAATTAAATATTCACTTTAATATTTCCATTCAATATCTCTTGAAAACAGAGACCTATTATTTGTTGCACTGGAAAATATTAACTGTAACTCAAAGGTGACAGTACTAGAATCAAGTGTCATATGAACTGGTATAATTAATTGTTAGATGTAATTGTTCTAACACACCTGAATCTTCTCATGTTGAACTGTTCTTTAATATCTGCTTCTCTTTCAAAGACAAGTGGTATCCCTTTTGGAGTTAAAAAAAATAACATCAATATTCAGCAGAGATATAAAATTTACATTAGTCACTGTACTCTTCAATGCTTAGGAGGTTGAATGAATTCACAAAAGCAAGAGAGTAGCCCTCTAAATGACACTCTGTTGGTGTATAAACAATATCTTGGTACCTAGGTCCACTTTTGCAAGTATTCCATATAAATCAATGATCTTGTGTATAGAAAACAGAAATTATCATTAAAATGGCTGTAAATGAGAAGAGAAAGGAGAGACAAATAGAGAATGGGACAATAGCAATACTAGAAGGTAGGAAAGGAAGATTTGTAGCTATGGACCCATAAATGCAATAACTACCATTTTTCTGATGAGAATGTAAAAATCTTATTTATTGGTTTATGTTAAACACATTTAAAACATTCTTGTTCTACTTGAATACATAAGCTTACAAGCAAAAGTTTTCCTTTGGATTTTTTATACTAATGTGTTTACTCAAATCTAACCAAACTCATTGCTGTCGAATCAACTCCAACACAGAGCTGACACTCCAGACACTCCATTGGGTTTATAAGGAGACAGAATGACCTTTGTAGGAAAGAATGATCATCTTTCTCCAATGGAGCAGCTGGTGGATACACACTGTCAACCTATCAGTAAGCAGGCCTATAGTCATGTACCCTATCACCAGGGGCTATTTTGATCTGTATTAGATTAAAATCTATCCTGCCGTGTTGGGTGTGAATACCTACTTTTATTTAAGTTCATTTGTTCAATCACAAATTTAGTTGTAGATTGGTATTATAACACTTGCCTTCTATGATGCACAGATAGTAAGTATCTCGGGATTAAAAGACAATAGAATGGTTAATTATATATAGTAATTATTTAGAGTTAATTTAAATATTAATAAAAACCTCTAAGAAGATATAAATTTTATTGTCTTTATTCCTTTAAGAATTTCCAGAAAGTAATCAGAGAGATGCAAATAAAAACAACCATGAGATATCATCTCACCCCAGTAACAATAGCAAAGTTCAATAGAGCAGCAAACAATAAATACTGGAGACGTTGTGGAGAGATTGGAACATTTGTTCACTGCTGGTGGGAGTATGAAATGTTGCAACCACTATGGAAGGCAGTTTGACACATTCTCAAAAAGTTGCAAATAGAAATACCGTTTGACCCAGCTGTGCTACTACTGGGAATATATCCTAAAGAAACCATAGCCACCATTCAAACAGATATATGCATATCCATGTTTATTGCTGCATTATTTATAGTAGCAAAGCAATGGAAGCAATCCAACAACTGAATGGATAGAAAAAGCATATTATATTCACACAATGAAATGAAATACTATGTGGCACTAAAAACCAATGAACTCATAAAATATTACACAACTTGGGTGATCCTGGAGCACATCATGCTAAGTGAAATATCTCTGTCTCAAAAGGACAAATACCTCATAAAAACACTGTTATAAAGCAGGTCTGACATGCAGGGTTGGGAGGTGAAAAGGATAAGAGTAGACAGATAATGACCATTGCACCGGAACATGAAAGAAAAAAGCTGTCTAAAAGGAATATATAATTAGGCACATATGTAAGACAACAGCCCAAAATAAGAGGTATATGATTGCAAAGAGGACTTGGGGGGGGATATAGAAGTAATTGCACAATGGTGAATATTGGAAAAAAAGGAAGTGAATTGGGGGAGGAGGAAGAGAGGGAGAAGGGGTAAAATGTGTAACAATGAGTGAATGAATATCTAACTTCTCTGTAAGCTTTCATTAAAATCACGAGTAAAACAAAATTTCATTTTAAAAAATGGAATTTCCAGAAAATAAATTCTATTTGAGATTATGAAGAATTATTAAAATGTGAATATTTATTGTCAGTCATAAATGGAAATCTAGAAATAGTAACACACACAAACATACACACACAAACACACACACACACACGGGGTGGGGAGGAGAGAGGGAGAGAGCTCTAGTGACCTAACTTCAGTGTCAACCCAAAGGCACAAGGTTCGAATCCATTAGCTGTTCCACAGAAGAAAAATTGACAGTTTACTCCTGTGTGATTTTCAGCCTCTGAAATCCTGTTGGCAGGTCAGCTTCTGACCCGATGACACACATAACAGCAACAACAAAACACACGAACACACACAGAGAAATATTTTTGCAAGCCCTGAGAGACAATAAGTAATTTAAGTGCTGTTAATGAAAAATCCAAATATCAAAACTTTAGAAATTTTACCTTCAATTTAATTCTTAAACATGATTTCTGTTCATATCTGAATATTCATTCTATTAAATGAAACTTTGAAGACTTCTACCTTTTTTCTGTCTCTTTTTAATGATTCCAGTAAGATGCTTTCTCAATGACTCCACCACGTTTCTTTCATTTTTTATATTTTGAACAAATGAGTGATTAAGCATGTTTGCAGAAGTGGGACGAAACAGAAAATTTTTTATCATGCACTTTTCCATGAAACTGCGGAACTTGTGAGACCTAAAAGAAATTAATCAAATGGAATAAAAGCATTCTCAGATCTGCAATACCTCCTCCCATGCCCAAATAAATGCAAACCACTCTGTAGGTCATAGTTTGAAGATTTCTGCCTCTAGCTATAACTGTCTTTTCAACTTTAAAATAATCTGCAGATTTGCCATGCACCTTATACAGCAATGACATTAAAATTTCAGAAGACATGAAAGTTAATGGCATTTTGGTTATTTTGTTGTTGTTATGTGCCGCTGAGTCACCTGCAACTCATAGTGACTCTATGTACAACAGCCTTAAACCCTGCTCTATCTGTGTCAATCTTATTGTCTCTGACACACCTACTCCTATTACCCTAGTTACTGAATTAATCCATCTCATCAAGGGTCCTCTTCTCTTGCGCTGTCCCTCTACCCTCCCAAACATGACGTCCCTCTACAAGGACAGGTCCCTCCTAGCAACATATCCAAAGTATGTCAGACGAAGATTCAAAATGCTTGCCTCCAAGGAGTAGCATGGTCTCACCCTCTGTAGGACGAACCTGTTTGTTCTCCTAGCAGTCCATGGTATATTCAATATTCTCCAGCATGACAGCTCAAAGGCATCAATTCTATCACCCCTAATCATTGTCCAGTTTTCTGATGCATAGCAAGTAATTGCTAAGACTATAGTATGGATCAGTGTTCCAGACTGACATGGTTGCTCTTCAGTACTTTGGAGAGGTCTCTGACAGGAGTCTTTCCCAAAGCAATTCATCCTTCAATTTCCTGGCTGCTGGCACCAAGAGTGTTGATTGTGGAGCCAAGCAAACTAAAGCTGTTAACAATCTCAATTTCTTCACCATCTATCATGATGCTGCCAATCAGACCAGTGATGAGGTTCTTTGTTTTCTTGATGTTGAGTTTCAATCCATATCAAAGGCTGCAGTCCTTGACGTTCTGCAGCAAGCTCTTCAGGTCCTCCTCAGTTTCAGCAAGTAGGGTTGTGTCATCTGCATAACACAGATTGTTGATGAGTCTTCCTTCAATCCTGATGCCACATATCTCCTCATAGAGCCCAGCCTCCTAATCTGTTCTTCATATAGACTGAAAAAGTATGGAGATAGAACACATCCCTGGAGAAGAGGCTCTAAGCCACAAGAAGGCAATCCTGGAGCAGAAGTTCAAGGCAAAGGTCTTTTCCTAAGAACCGTCTGAGATAGGAAGTCTTCCCTAATACTAGTACCTGGTATTTGGACTTAAAGACTCCTAAACTCAAGAGACACTGGCCACAGCATAAGAAACTGCCAGTAGCTTGAGGCATTTGGAATCCCAGAAGCCCAGAAAGCTTTACATATTAGCCATCATAATAAGGGCTGAATAGGGAAAGACAGGTGTTGAAAGAATAATGGCATTGTCTCCTCAAATTATAGCAGAAACTTCAGTGAGATGAACTGTGTGTATGTGATAAAAAGTGAAATTGGAGATATGACAATTACATAATAAATTCAATACATATAGACTGTGATCCTATGTTGGTCAGCCCACAACAATCATACTCTGAAACTTGAATGTTTCATTTTATATATGCTTTGTGATCTACAGAAACAGAGATATATCTGGACCACACTGAGAATGGCAGCTGAGACTAGTCTTATGTATCATGTTCTTAAATAAAAAAACCCTTTCACTGGAAAAAAAAGGTAAATGTTGATTAACACTGGGTTTAATCATCTTACAAATTATCCATAAAAAGAAATATAGCCAAAGGTTCTAACTCCCTGGGGACAATTACAACGAATTTAAAAGAAGAGTAGAAGTAATTACCACTTCTACTAGGGAAAGAAGTTAATACTAAGAATAAATAAAAGAGTTTCATGTATTCGACCAACAAGCTTTAGAAGGGTGGCATCATTAGGAAGGTGCAGGGGAGGGGAGGTGCAGTAAACACCTATTAAGGTCAGAGGAAGTGACACCAAAATGATTGTATATAAAAATTTTGTGTAATGTTTAGGCAGAAATGTATTATTTTTAAATAAAAATATCCCTGTAGCTGCTTATGCTGTTGTTGTTAAGTGTTATCAAGTTATAGTATGACAATGAAAATATTTTCCATAATCTCAGCTTCCTCATTGTTATTGTTAGGTATCATTGAGTGGACTCCAACTCAGAGCAATCCTATGAATGAAACCATGCCTGATCCTGTACCATAGTCATAATCTTTGCTGTCCTTAAACCCATCAACTGCAGTTGCTGTGGCAAACAATCCATCTTGTCTATCTCCACTTTTTTGCTAATCCTCTACTTTTCCAAGCATTATGACCTTCTCCAGAGACTATCCCATCCTGTGTTTACTTTTTGTTTTCCCTCCCGTTAACATGACCAAAGTATGTGAGAGGAAGTCTCACCATCCATCCTCAGTTTTAAGGAAGACTCTGGGCGCACTTCCTCCAAGATAGATTTGTTTGTTATTTTAGTAGCCCATGGTATATTTAATATTCTTTTCCAACACCACAATTCAAAGTAATTGCTTCTTCTTAAATCTTCCTTGTTTTTGTTCAACTTTTCACATACATATGAAACAATTGAAAATACCATGACTTGGATCATTTAAAAGGCTAAAACTTTATGTGAATTTGCCTTTTGAGCCTTATGATGTGCTCTGACCTAAGCATGGTCATTATTATCCAATTACAAAGATACTTCCAATTACAAGCCTTCATATGCACAGACTATAAAGCATGTGCTGTTGTTTTCATTATTGCTGATGTTTTTATAGTCATTGAATTTGATTTGTTAAATTTTTTCCTGTTTTCAGCTACAATGTAATTAGTATTTACAAACCTATGTCAATATTTTTAAAGAATAAAGTAGTGGTTAAAGAAAAAAGGAGTAAAAAAGGTTTCCACTCCATTATTAGGAATGTAACTAATGTAAATCAATGTATAAATGTTTTTCAAAACAATTTTAGTTTAGCAGTCATATAATAAGATTTATTACATTTAAGCAATTTACAAACATATTTATCCGTCTCCTTAATGGAGATGCATATGCCTATTAAAATAAATACAGTAATATCATCATAATATCTGATGAGATTTTTTTCCCTCCCTGGCTAGTTAGGACTTAATTAAAACTGGATAATATACTTTAGAAAATGCTGTCCAACGAGGCTGATTAAGTAGGACTAAACAAGTAAGTTAAAGTTTTGCAACATAAAAATGTCAAATCACTGTGTGTAGAAGATCGAGATATTCATCTTTACCATCCACTGGATTTGACTGTAGGAGCTGATTCCCGCAAAATGACAAAGAGGGCTTCTAGTGGCTGGAGGTTACATAGGGCTGCAAAGGGAAATAGGCAAGTTTAGGAAAAAAAAATTAATAGAGCAACTACAGAGCATTCACCTCATGCCCGAGGAGATTCTCAGCATTCTTCAACACAGCATGCTGAACAGACACTAATGAATAGACACAAGCAAATGTATGTAGGCTAAAGGAAAAGTTCATTTCATTACAAGTAGCATATTATGGAAGAGTCTTAAGCTTTACCGTTTCCAAGCATGTAAAATGCAATTAGATTCAACAGTAAAATAAAATTTCTAAAATATATTATTTATGTCTAGAAGTAAATCAGTAGTGGACACAAGCTTACTTCTATTTTTTTTTCTATACTTTTGTATACCACTGCACATCAGAATATATTAATTTATAGCCTGAAAATGTCAACTAGGCTACTAGGCAAAAAAGTATGTAAAAGAAAGTGATTTAGTACTTTAAAAAGTTGAAAAGCAAATATATATACTGAAACAGTATGTACA